CGAGGGCAGTTTATTTTTTCTTTGCTTATTTTTTCTTTTTTCGATCCGGTATCCTAGTCATTCGCACGCTGTGATTAGCTAGCGCGCGATCCAGTATTTCACGATCTGCCCGGTCCAAGGTATCCTGCAGCTAGTTTGCGAACAAAGTTCAAAAAATACACAAACATCACGTAATAAAAAAATAAAAATGCTATTTACCGGCTAAAAAAAAATAAAGAATGAAATCATGCGATATCAATCTAATGAAACTGCAGCGTGACACTACTCGCAGCGTGAAATATTCCAGACAGTCATGGCAGCCGTCCATTGGAAATACAATGAAGCCGAGTACAGACATCGTMACAAAGTATACGTCGACAAAACTGGACAACTCGAAAATCTCTATGATATTCTAAGCGACATTTTACCATCTGCAATCGCCAATATGGGATACGAAGTTAGTCAGCAGAGCCAAATCAACATTCTAAGCGTTGGAAGTGGAAACGGGGAAACTGATATAAAAATTCTAAACCTTATCAAAAGTGCAGTTGGTCCAGTTATGCTGTTCAACCGAGCTATCGARCCAAATGATTCTTTCTTGAACATTTACAAGAGAACAATTGAAAACCTGCCCGATGAGGAATTAAGTAAAGAAGCCTTCGACATTTATCCACCAAGAACGTTTGAAGAGTATGTTGCTGAACCAAAAGGTGATGTGAAGTTTGATATAGTACACTTTAGYCATAGTTTGTACTATATAGACGTGGAGGAGGCGTTGGTACATTGTTACAATGAAGAGTTGAGAGAAAAAGGGATGATGATTACTTGCACGACAGGACCAAAGAACTTGATGTGCTTGATAMAAAAGCAAGACAAAAGCTTAGGTCCTACTGCCTTCGAGCGTGTTTCCTCGGTCATCCAGAAATATTCATGGAAGTACGAAGAACATACAAAGGAGGACTATTTTGATGTTTCTGATGTTTTTGACGAATCGTCTGAAGAAGGAAACGCTCTTCTTGATGTTTTTACGTTWACARTCGATTTTCGTTCAAGCAACACTCCTGACGATGTACAGAGATTTTTGGATTTGATCAAAAAATATTCTGTGAGTAGAGATGGAAAATACTTTGCAAATTACGAGCAGAAAATTATTATAATATATAAGTGATCTGCTTTTGTTTTGTGTAAATCGAAAAAAAAATGTTCTCTTTGCCATTAAAATTCATAGTTGCATGCGTAAATTGGAGTGATTGTTGTTAAAGCTAAAAGCTATATGAATTGGTTGCCTTAATGTGCAACCCCCGAAGTGAAAATTTATTAGTCGTTATTTTCAAAAACCAAGTAGCAAATCATAAAGAGCATAGTCAGATTATCTAGAATACGAGCTTTAAGTCCTGTAGCTTTCTGATGAAGATAAGCGAATAAATATGAGCTTGAGTCACGCGTTTCCGGTCTTTTTGTTCAGAGGAAGCCAGAATGGGAGCAACAGAGTTACAAAGGAATCCCGAAGTACGAAAAACTGGGAAGCAGGCTGGAGCTATGAATGTTTTATCACCGTTACATGAACGGAAATTGTGTAGCAAGAAGTGTGATCATTTAATAGGGTTTTTTAACTTGCTACTCATTAGTATCATTAGAATTAATAAGGATCAAGGATCGCAGACATTCTAGACAGTCATGGCAGCCCTCCATAGGAGGTAAAATTAAGCCAAGTACAGTCAAAACAAGGCAAAATAAAAAATTAGCCGAGTTATAGAAATATAAGAAGAATTCAACAAAGAAGTAGCATGACCTGGATCAACCCAGAACATTTAAATACTACGCAGTCCATTCAAATAGTGATGGGCAGCAACAATTTTATAATACTATGAAAAAATTAATGCTATTGATGGTTGGACATTAGGCCATTTTCAATATAAAGATAGGAATATGAGGACCGCATGGCACTATGATAGACACGATATAGAAATGAAAGAAAGTTATATTGCTTAGAAGGAGACAATTCCAGGAGAAAGACCCTTTAGGAATAAATTCAGGAAAATTAATTTCTGACCTCGCTGGGATTCGAACCCACGACCTTCGGATTTGTACCACCGATGCTATACCCTTCTGAGCTATAAATGCCTCCTTCTAAGCACTTTAATTTTCTTTCATTTCTATATCATTTTTAATATAGCTACCTCAGCCACTTCTTTTTGAAAAACAAGAGACAGAGGTGTTCTACCAAAAGCAAATGGTCCTGCTCTTTGAGGGATTGCTTCCAGCCACTGAAGCAGTAAAGGTATTGATACGTTAAAAGGAAGATTACCAACCATTCGCACGCCAGGAATAACTGCAATGAAAGGGAAAGAGAGTTTGATGTAAAATGCATGCCTCAGTACATACTCTGACATTCATTTGCAGATATACTGGTCATATTTTTTACATATGATTTATATATTGCCAAACTCATTGTATAAAATGGTTCAAATCATCTGCTGATCCCAGTGAACCTTACTGCTGGACTATGGTTNGCATACACAGGAACATGTTTTATGTATAGTTTAAAACACGAGAGAGAGTGTTTTATCAGGTATAAAGATTCGAGCCGATAAAACCTGATAAAACACTCTCTCTCGTGTTTTAAACGGCTTAAAAAACTCCAACACTATTTGAAACTCAATATCCGTTAAAATAAAAATCCATTAAGATAAATGGGGCATTAACTGATCATGCGCAAATCACTTTACAAAGCACTCTTGTCATCCCACATTGAATACGCATAAAGTAAAATAGAAGCACTCTTGGCTGTTCACTGAAATCGGTTGACATCCTGCATTGGTCAATGATCAGGTTTATCAGATATAAAGGTCCATGCATGTGACTAAATAGGCTCATTCTATTGGCCTAGTAACTCATTAATTATGTATGAGTTTTTTAATTATAGTTTAAAACAGGAGAGAGTGATTTTTTCAGGTATAAAGATTAATTAAAATTGCTAACAACATGATTAAATGTACAAACCTGAAGTGATGGTAAAAAGCGTTTATCAATTTCAACAGCGGCAACATGCCTTGCCCCAGCATGCAGTAGTGACCTGGTTAATGACCCAGGACCAGAGCCAACCTCACAMACRTAGCAATCAAATACATCAGATACTTTGGAGATCTTATCTAAAAAAAAATCAAAATAATATCAACTATTAGATAAAGTACAGAAATACAGTCAACTCTTGCAATATGCACACCCTCAGGATCGTAATAATTAGTGTCCTCTGTAAGAAGAGGTCATAATAACGGACGTAACTTTTAGCCACTCTTTTCTTTTCTTTTTTTTCAAGGACTAAGCATTTCCTGTCTGTAATAACATAGGGCGCTTTCCATTTGTCAGAACTGGCTGGCCAGACCCAGAGAAAATGTCATTATATATCATTATCCTATTTAGTTGGGAAATTGAAATTTTCAATTCTATACATTATTCTTTAGAAAACCTCAAAATGACTGAAAAATGTTGACAAAAAGCATCATATACCTCTAAATAGAGAGGACTGGCCGGCCAGTTCTGCCTAAATGGAAAGCACCCATAGTGTCAATAATCATTGCACAGTGTCCATAAGGCAAGACTTCTTTTGACAGTATCAGCACAGATCATACTGAACCAACAAGAATGAATCTCATAATTGGTTGATAAAACAATGGACAAATAATAGATGCTCTTACTAACAATAAAACAAAACCTAAACCAACAACAGAGGTTCAGGAGAAATCGAAATTCTTGGTGTGCAACCCCCAAAGTGAAAATTTATTAGTCGTTATTTTCAAAAACCAAGTAGCGAGTCACAAAGACGCATACTCAGATTATCTAGAATACGAGCTTTAAGGCTTGCAGCTTACTTTCTGATGAAGATATCAGCGAATAAAGATTTGAAATATTTGGTTGATTTGTATGGGGACGCCATCTTGGATGATAACTTTGATCATCCAAGATGGCGGCTGGTTTCAAATTGACTTCAAAAACTCTGGTTTCCTTGATTTCCTTTGTAAATTTTGTTCACTTATGGCTTTATTTCAAAGAAAAATCACCTTAAGTAAGTTCTTACGGAGTTGAAAGTATGATTTATCCAATTTCGAAGTTTTTGTTTACGATCTAAAAGTAGAATAAATTAAACTCCGCACAAACTAAAACTTTTGTGATTCGCCACCAAAGCGTTGAATTCGTCTGAAAATTTCCATACACACTATCTAGAAATATATTTAAGA